AAGTACCCACTTATTTTGCCTTTGGTACCAGATCTGTTCCTGCACCATGAGTCTTACAAATTGTGGTTTTTGTGGCACAAATTTGTTAATAAAATCTTAAGTAATTGTTCCAAAATTACTTAGAATTAGAACAAATCAGGGAAAAAAAATAAGGCACCCCAAAATGAGTGTGGTGGACGTAGTTGGCCTTGCTGTGCAAAAACTTCAACCCAAGTACTCACTTATTTTGCCTTTGGTACCAGATTTGTTCCTGCACCATGAGTCTTACAAATTGTGATTTTTGTGGCACGAGTTTGTTAATAAAATCTTAAATAATTGTTCCAAAATTACTTAGAAGTAGAACAAATGCGGGAAAATAAATAAGGCACCCCAAAATGAGTGTGGTGGACGTAGTTGGCCTTGCTGTGCAAAAACTTCAACCCAAGTACCCACTTATTTTGCCTTTGGTACCAGATCTGTTCCTGCACCATGAGTCTTACAAATTGTGGTTTTTGTGGTACGAATTTGTTAATAAAATCTTAAGTAATTGTTCCAAAATTACTTAGAATTAGAACAAATCAAGGAAAAAAAATAAGGCACCCCAAAATGAGTGTGGTGGACGTAGTTGACCTTGCTGTGCAAAAACTTCAACCCAAGTACTCACTTATTTTGCCTTTGGTACCAGATTTGTTCCTGCACCATGAGTCTTACAAATTGTGGTTTTCGTGGCACGAATTTGTTAATAAAATCTTAAGTAATTGTTCCCTTAGTTGGCTGGGTGGGAGGAATCGAGACTCAGAACGTGCCCTTAGTTGGCTGGGTCGGAGGGAAGACGATGTCGTCTTTGTTTCGTTGGCCAACGCCGGAGCTGCGGTGGCTCTGAATCGGAACTGGCTGGAGGGGTGGAAGAAAGACGACAGCGTTCAACGTTGTCAGACGGCACACCGGCGGGCACTCCGTCGGAGCTCTGTCTCTCGAACTCTCTCTCTAGGTTCGACTCTCTCTCTCAAGCTTCTCTTCTCTCTCTACGAATGTCTCAAATTGAAAATTTGAAAAGTGAAATTTGATCCGCCAAACTTGAAACTCCTTCTTCACTTCCTTTTCACGTCATTTAAAATTTTCAATTCAATTTTCCATGTGGACCACTAGCATTTTGACATTTGTCCCGTGTCAAAATGTTGTCAAAATTTGTTGTTCAAATATCATTTCCCAAAAAAAAAACAAGAATCCATCTTGAAAGAACTAACTGAATCTTTAATCAGAAGATTTGGGAGAAAAAATAGGTGTACGGTGTTTGAGAAACTTGCGGCGTTAAGGCAGAAAAGGATTGTCCAAGAATATATTCAGGATTTTGAAAGGTTAGTGGCATAAGCATCTGAGTTGACAGAGGAACAGTTGCTAGGCTATTTCTTTGCTGGACTATAGGGAGATATAAGGAGTTAGATTAGGCCGCACAACCCCAGAGATTTACTGAGGGC